TATCTATCTATCTATCTATCTATCTATCTATCTATCTATCTATCTATCTATCTATCTATCTATCTATGACAGTGTCTCAGTGTGTGGCCCAGGCTGGCCTAAAACTTATGATTCTCTTGCCTCTACCTTCCAAGCGCTGCTGCTACAGATTTTTAAACACCTGTAACTCCTATAATTCAAAGGTCAATGGTATTCTTCATGATAACACACTATCAAATGTATTTCTCTCACCCAACTCATTTTCCAAAGGCCTGATAACTCAGTAACTGACTATTGGATCCACAATGAAGATGTTGTATCTAAAACAACTTTTAACTAAAACAATTCCAGAGTGCCACTAGCACAGAAGTATTTGGGGACTCCCAATGCCAACTTGTGGATGAACAGACAGGTATTAAAAGCATGAGAGTTCAAACAGGGGACAACGAAATACGTGGGTTACCAATAGCTAATGAAGTGTTCAACTGAGGTTTACCAGCAAAGTGCACAGTGATTAATTGGCCTACTATACCTTAGGCTTTTATTCCAAACAGCAAATATAAGACAACAGCCATTTAAAAAATCTTTTAGGTATTTTCAATGGTTTCTGAATTATTTGCAGGAGAAGTTTGTACAGAGTTTGATGTGTATCCACCATTAAATCCAGATCATGTTTTTTTTTTGTTGGTTTTTTATTATTTTTATTTTCTATATTAATTACAGTTTATTCACTTTGTATCCTAGTTGTTGCCCCCCCCCATTCCCTTCCAAGCCCTCCCTCCCTCCTTCATCTCCTCCCATGCCCCTCTCCAAGTCCACTGATAGGGAAGGTCCTCTTCCCCTTCCATCTGACTCTAGCCTTTCAGGTATCATCAGGACTGGCTGCACTGTCTTCCTCTGTGGACTGGTAAGGCTAATTCCTTCTCAGGGGGTGGTGATCAAAGAGCCAGCCACTGAGTTCATGTCAGAGACACCCCCTGTTCCCATTACTAGGGAACCCACTGGGAGACTGAGTTGACATGGGCTACATCTGTACAGGGGCTCTTGGTTATCCCCATGCATGGGCCTGGGTTGAAGTATCAGTCTCAGCAAAAACCCATGGGTCCAGATTTCTTGGTTCTGTTGCTCTCCTTGTGAAGCTCCTGTCCTCTCCAGGTCTTTCTATCTGCCCCTTCTTTCATAGGATACCCTGCACTCTGCCCAAAGTTTGGCTATGAGTCTCAGCATCTGCTTTGATAGGGGGTAGAGTCTTTCAGAGGCCCTCTGTGGTAGCTTCCTGTCCTGTTCAGTGTTTTCTGCCTCTTCTGTTTGTCCTGTTTGCCTTTCTGAGTGAGGACTGATCATATCACCCAAGGTCCTCCTTCTTGCTTAGCTTCTTTAGGTGTACAGATTTTAGTATGTTTATCCAATATCATATGTCTAATATACACTTAAAGGGAGTATACCATGTGTGTCTTTCTGCTTCTGGGATACCTCACTCAGGATGTTGTTTTCTAGTTCCCACTACTTGCCTGCAAATTTCATGATTTCCTTGTTTTTAATTGCTGAGTAGCATTCCATTGTATAAATGTCTATTCCTCAGTTGAGGGACATCTGGGTTGTTTCAGGGTTAGAGCTAAACAGAATTCTCTAGAGAGGAATATAAATGGCAGAGAAACACATAAAGAAATGCTCAACGTCCTTAGTCATCAGGGAAATGTAAATCAAAACGACCCTGAGATTTTACCTTACACCTATCAGAATGGCTAAGATCAAAAACTTAAGTGACAATACATGCTGGAGAGGATGTGGAGAAAGGGAAACCCTCCTCCACTGCTGGTGGGAATGTAAACTTGTACAACCACTCTGGAAAGCAATCTGGCACTTTCTCAGCCAATTAGGAATAGTGCTACCTCAAGATCCAGCTATACCACTCCTAGGCATATATCCAAAATATGCTCAAGCACACAACAAGGACATTTGCTCAACCGTGTTCATAGCAGCTTTATTCGTAATAGCCAGAACCTGGAAACAACCCAGATCATGTTTTATATCAAGACTTATGTTAAGCAAAGTGTCCCGCAAGTCTGCTTTGAGACACTTTTCCTCCATTTTCCTAGCACTCATTGCTCATTCTCAGCTTTCACCACAGGGAGAATGCACAGCACCATCAGTGAGGCATAGACATTAGGAAAAAAAACTTGATGTCAGGAAGACGGAGGGCTTCATAAATGGCGGAGGGAGCTCCATATCTTTTCCTCTGTGTTTCCTCTGGGTCCTCCAACAGGGAAACTTGGCTGACAGCATGTAGGTCACTTCTGTACATGTCAGCATGGTGCTCTTCTGATGTGTTGAATCTGAGCTGCCCCATCACTGAGGGTACCAGAGATAGGCATTTCAGAGCCTTGAGGTACTGTTCAGAAAACCTGTCCTTAAGCTCCTGAGGGTGTCTTTATGTTTACTATGAGGTGGAATAACTGTGCAGCTAGACAAGCATTTATACTCTGCAGTGCCGCGACAGATTTTGATTTCATGGTTACCACTGTTCTTAAAAATGTGTTATCTTTTATAAGAGCCTTTGGGAAGAATCTCCAGGGACAAACCTCTTTGCAGCCGGAAGCTTGACCGCAGTACTGCATTCACTTAATGAGGTGATGGAAAATATTGAGTTTATCACGAGTTTTGGTCTGAGGAAGCTACAGATTTAGCAAGCGAACCTGACATTCAGATGAAACACCCAGGGAAGTTCCAGAGGGCCCAGCAAGGTAACCTGGAGCCTCAGCTAACCTCTGAGTGTTCCTATAGAGACAGCCTCAGTGGTCCAGCACTGTGACTGTTGTTCTAACCTAATCTCTGTAAGAACTGTAATACAGGGTTCATGTTTAAGAACAGGGTTTAGAGGTCTTGGAGATGATGTTGTCTGACCACTTTTTTGGAGCTGTCAAAGGCAAAAACTACATCCCAGGGCTTCTGCCTGAGAGTCCTGCCACCGAGCACTGTGGGGGTTTAATTTCCAAAATGAACACTGGATGGTCAAAGAGATCATAGATGACATCATTTTGAGGCTGGCAAAACTGATGGGTATTAGAAGACCATTGGCAATGGATTCCGGGACCAATAGTAACTCAACCACACTGATCATCTACACAGCACTTAATAATGCACCCTAGAGACATCATAAAGGACACGTATCTCATTTCTCCATCCTAGAGAAGACAGAATGAGATTCCATTATCAGTTACAATTTGAAGACTTGAAGCCTTGGTTTATGAACTATTATCCTGCTTAGCATTCTCAATGTTCCAGTAAATCAAAGTCTGAGGAGAACATCTTCCCATATATGTGAGGACAGAATTACTTAAAGATAATGAATAAAGACCGATTTTCAAAACAAACAGCTTGACCACTTATCTATTCATGAATATTTATTGAGACTTTATTTTGTACTCAGTAAAACCTAAATATTCAACTAAACGGTGTTGATCATTTAAAAAGTGGAGAGATGATGTAATTTGAGAAAATTGATACAAAAAATGAACAAAAATAAGTTTCAATACAAATAGATCATTGTGAAAATTATATAATTATTAGGTGAACATCTATTTTAAACAGGAAAAGAAATCTTAAATACTACCTCATGTAGACTGTAGTTCCAAATATGATTGGTTATCATTGTCACCTGGCAATCCTCTCAAAAATGCAAATCATGGGACTATGAAATTTCACCTTTAATCAAATATTTAGAGACAGCATCTTATTATGTTACCCAGCTGGCCTTGCATCCTCTGTGTCGGTCCCCTGGGTAGGTAGCATTGCAGGTATAAACCACCACGCCTAGCCATGCACAACCACCCTTGCTGGGACATTCCTGGCTAAGTCAGGGAAACCTGCATTTTGAAATGGCTCCCAGCTACTCCTGGGCATGCTCCTGGGTCTTTACCATCTTCATTACACAGCCTAGAGCACTAATTTGCTCCAGGCATTTGCTTCTTGGTGATGAAACTGAGCCTAGTATACAGAACTGTTTTTCTGGTACTCTCACCTTTTCCATATCCCAAGAGGCCCTATCCTCCCACCCCCTTAAATTTTGCTTTGGTTAAGTAGTAGTTATTTAGTCCAGATAGTCTAGAAAAAGAAGAGCAAAAGAACAACTGTAGCTACTCAATGCTAGATGATTTACATAGATTTTTTTTTTTCATTTGTATCTTCTTGATTTTTCCACATATGGAGGCTCTGGAATTTTTTTTAAATTTCTCAGATAATATCTTTTTATTTTTTATTAATTGCAGTTTATTCACTTTGTATCCCTCCTGTAGCTTCCTCCTTCCTCCCCTCCCAATCCCACCCTCTCTCCACCTTCTCCACCCATGTCCCTCCCCAAGTCCACTGATGGGGGAGGTCCTCCTCCCCTTCCTTTTGATCTTACTCTATCAGGTCTCATCAGGAGTGGCTGCATTGTTGTCCTCTGTGGCCTGGTAAGGCTGCTCTCCCCTCACGGGGAGGTGATCAAAGAGCAGGCAAATCAGTTCATGTCAGAGACAGACCCTGTTCCCATTACTATGGAACCCACTTGGACACTGAACTGCCATGGGTGACATCTGTGCAGCGGTTCTAGGTTATCTCCATGCATGGTCCTTAGTTGGAGTATCAGTCTCAGAAAAGACCCCTGTGCCCAGATTTTTTGGTTCTGTTGCTCTCCTTGTGGAGCTCCTGTCCTCTCCAGGTCTTACTATCTCCCATTTCTTGAGTAATATTCCTTGA